AGCTTGAGGCTCTGTCTCCAAAAAAAAAAAAAAAAAAAAAAAATATATATATATATATATAAAGTTTAATACAAAGAAGTATTAACTAGTGAAAAGAGTTTTCTCTTGTGAAGGACATAAAGAGATCTCTGAAGAATATAGGAACAGCAGAATGGGGATAGCTACTGCCTCTAAAAAGTTAAGGGAAAATTCTCAAGGAAGAAGCAAACTGAGAAGAGGGTCCCCCAATCCCAACCAATATTGAAGCTCAGACCTCATTGGACAGGATGTCGTTGTTCCAGTGGTGTACCAGAGTCAATCTATATGGGCTTGCAAGAGCCAGTTCTGTATATCTCTTCCCCAGTCTTCATTGAAATAAGCTGTGGTAGAAGCATTCAAACCATGGAAGTTGTCAAATGCAACAGATCAGATTTTTCAGTTTTCAATCTAGTTATTAAATATTTCCCAGCGCAACACTGGCTGTGTCCAACAGCATAGTAAAGTTCATTATGGTGCTACAGGCCAGGGCTGATGACCAGGAAGCCACTATTTAAGGCTGAGTGTCACGGGGCATCCCACACATCACTGCCCTATCAGAGTAAGATAGAAAACGCCAGAACTAGGAAGAAGCCCCTTTTCTTTGTCCTTCCAGTGCCCTTTACTGGCAAAGAGGAAATTGTTACAGATCCAGCTGCAGTATCAAAGGAGAACAAAGAAATGGTGAATTTGGAGCTAGGAGGCAATAAATTGGCAACTGATGCACGTTTTAAGTTCATTTTTAACCTCTAGACCACTGTCTTGTTTTCCATCCCCTGCCTCCCTGCTTTCCCCCTAGATCACCTGTTCTCAACCTGTGGGTCATGACCCATAGGAACTGTATTAAAGAGTCAAGGTATTAGGAAGGTTGAGAACCACTATCCTAGATGGTTATATAAGTTAAGTTACCACCTTTATCTGGATCTCTAATAATGTTACCTCCTCAGAGAAGACTCCGACTTGGACATACTAGTTTATTTCTGTCTCACAAAAATGTTTAGAGGTAGTCACCTATCCCAGGGGCCAATTCAGATCCAGCTCAAGGCCTCTTTTTGTATGGCCCACAAGTTAAGAAT